TCGGTTTGTTTAATTGTTCATCTTCCTTGGTGATGTTTTTCCCCTTTATCTTAATCCTCGATTGTAGCGGGATTTCAATATAGTTACGTTGTTCAAGGGCCAACAGGCCATTCTATGTCTACCTTACCTACGGGACACTCTGGTGATAACGGAAATGAGAAAAATATTATTGGCGGAAATTTAGTCCCATATTTTACTTCACCCGATTCGTATGGAGGATCAACTTCATCTAATGGGAATGGTACAGATAATCAGCTTTCGGAATCTATTAATCACAATCCATCAAATTATCACAGTATGTTAATTGTTGTTTTCTCTCCATCCAATTTAGTTTCCAAATGAACCAATTTAATCAAATTCTCATCTTCTCTTATACCTTTGCAGTTTTAGTCTCAGCGCCATGTTATCGAAGTCAATTACCAGCTGAATATGAATACGGGGAAGCACGGGAATGTGTTAATTGTGGAGCGATGTCAACACCTTTATGGCGTCGAGATGGAACAGGTCATTATTTGTGTAACGCTTGTGGTCTTTACTCAAAGATAAATGGTATGAATCGACCACCAATTAAACCACACAAAAAGATTCCCAATAATCGTCGGGCCGGATTATCGTGCTCAAACTGTGGCACTGGACAAACAACTCTTTGGAGGCGTAATATTGAAGGTGCGCCCGTTTGCAATGCTTGTGGCCTTTACTTTAAATTACACGGTGTCCCACGTCCGATGACGATGAAAAAAGACGGCATTCAAACGCGAAAACGTCGACCGAAAAATCCAGCAGGATCAACTAACACAATCCAATCAACAAATGGATTAGTTAATCAAGCAAATAATCATCATCACCATCAACAGCAGCAACAACAACACCAACAACAACAGCAACAGCAACAAATTCAAAACCCTCACCAATCCTTACAATCACAATTAGTTCAAGCCTCACAATCTCAATTAATGCATCAACAACAACAACAACAACAACAACAGAATCAATTAGTTAATCCATCATCAAATAATCCCCACATTCAGCCACCGATGATCGTCATGCACACAAGTGTAATACAATCTTTGACTTCACTCGATGATTAACCAAATCGACGAAACAATTAACTTTCTGCGCCTTAGCAAGTTGTCAATTCCGTCAGATGAAACTAGAACGGCAACAATCAGAATCGATAATCGTTCATCTAATTTTGTCATTTGTTTCAAAACATTTTTTTCTCATTAATAACTAATCAATATAATCATTATTTGGAGTGGAACCATTGAAAAAAATCTAATTTCTTTTGCTCGACTCATCATGTTTACTTTTTTTCTTATTGTAAAATTAGTTTTTCATATTTGGAGTGTCAATCAACTTGAAAATTGTCTCGAATGTGCCTGATTAGTGTTAATTAGACGAGAAAAGAAATTAAAATAATTCTCTCGGTTTTATTTTCACAAAGGATTTAAAAAGGAAGAGAAAACAAAATCATTTCGATTTGAAATAAACGAAAAAGTTCAATTCGATTATCCGAGATTTATATTATTGTATTTACATTTTTTTTTGTTCTAAAACAATTGTAATCAAAATGAATGTGACACTAAGATATTATTAACCTTTGCGTTTATTTTTTTTTCTGTTTGGTTATTGAGATGAGAATTTAATTTTGTTTATAATTGATGAATATTTTGAAATGTGTATGATGGCCATTGTTGATTTGTATATCTTTTGTTTGTCTGTTGGTTTTATCTATAGATTTTGGGTTGATTATAATTATTGTAATGTGTGTGTGTGTGTGGTTGTTGTTGTTGATATTGTTGTGTATCATTTTGTGGTGTTGATGTTTTTGATTACATTACGTACACTTTTTCAGCATCTTTTAAATCGTAAACCTCTTTACTTCGTGGACATATTATTTTACCACCATTTTCTATGGCCATTTGTTTGAGTGATAGTTCCCCGTAGACATTTCCGTTAGGAAGGACCATTGGATGATTATGTTCATTCAATGGTTGACCAGAGATGTGACAAACTAAACGAGATTGTGAACAATGGGAACAGGGAAGTGGTATGGCCAATTGGTTAAGGAGATCTGAGCAAACGGGACAATCGGGATTTTTTTCCGTATCTTTACTGTAACATTGAGGTGTTTTTAGAGCTGAAAGACCTGATTGAAGTGTTATTGCAAAAACAGAGGTTGGACTCAGTTGATACAATTTAAAATTAGCCAAACGAAATTGTTCAACTAAACTTGACCATCGGGTTTCATCAAAAAGAGACTTGTAGGGTTCAACTTCGGTATCTGGATTGAAAGCTAATAAGCCCATTACATGTTGTAGATCAACCTTTTGATCACCTTCCACACAGCTCAAGTATTTTCGAGCATGTTTGATGGCTTCAATTCGCTTGTTCTGTCTAATAAATTCAATAAACTCTTGTTGTCGAAGATTAAATTCTAAAGGACTTTTGATTTTGCGAAGTTTTGACTTATTGTCATGACACCAGGATAGACATTGTCCAGTTTCTTTGCGTAAAAGAGATTCTTCCACTTGTCGGGAAACTAGGAATAAATCGATATTCGTCAAATGTTCAATATTGGAATGAACAGCTAATTTGATCGCTGAATCATAATAGCCAGATCTTAAAAAATGTTCTACAAGCATTCGGTCCAATCGACGTTTTTTCCATTGATTGATGGAAGCTTCGGTTGTTCGTGGATTACAATATTCTTTAAGATGATCTAATCGACGTTTACAACATTTGGCAGCTTCCAATTCATCCATTATGCTTTCCTTAGCTTTACGCTTGAGAACAGTCAATTTCTCAACCACACCAGACAAGAGATCGGTAATGGTACTCACTGTAGGTAAACTGGACCCTTGACCAAGAACAGCTTTTTCCAAAGTGTTAACACAACTTTGAACATGACAAACCTCACGGTCGATAGTTTTCTGAGCTCCACGGAATTTTTTATTCAAAATCTCATAAGGTACCTTGAGGGTGGGGTGTTCAAGGCTCTTAATGTCTTGATTTTCCATAACAAAATCCATTGTAAATCTAATGGTTAAAAAGAAAAAATAACACAAAGCCACATGTTAATATAAAGCAAGAATAAAATGAAAGAAAAGAAAGACGTAATAGAGAAGATAAAAAATATAATCATTAAAAGAAAATAAAATCACAACAAACAGTCAAATTATCATTTGAAAAAATAGTAAAACTGTAAACTCAGCAACAACCTTTTCTCATCCGAAGAAAATGCTAACATTACCTGTAAAAAATAGCTTTTCTTAGCCACTAAATGGAGCTTCAGGAAGTACTTAATCACAGATAATTAAAAGAAAATACAAGAAATTAAATTTAATTCAATTTCCAAGTTGTTTTAATTAAGGGACAGAGAAAAAAACTGAACCTTTGTTAGAATGAAGGAAGAATCAAAACAAAGAAGTGTCTCCCTCTGGAAAAGAAAAAAAGAAACATCAGATTTTCTCTAGAAATGTGAATGTGAATGAGAATTTTTTAAAAAAATTTTCTGTTCCTTTTTTCAATTTATTTTCATCGATTAATTTTATCAATGGTAATTAATTAATTTAATTTATCTCTTATCTTAGTGACTGTTTATTTATTTAATTATTAAGTTAAATCAACATTTAGTCAAATTATTATTTTATTGTGTTATTGGTCCAAATTGAAAAGACAACATGGATAACGGAGTCAACAACATTAACCAAGATGGTCCGTACTGAGCCTGAATCTTTATCTATTTTTAATTAATTTTAACAATTTTCAAATTCATATTTATTGCCATATTTAATTATATTATTATAAATTTATATTATCATTAGAGTATTTCATAGAATATTTTTCTCTTTTTCTGTTCTCTTTTTTTTCCTTTCTCCCCTTTTCTCTCTCTCTTTCTTTTACCTTTCTATCTCTTTTTTATTCTCTCTCATCACTTTCCATCTTTTTCTCTCTTTATTACCTCTGCCTCTTTTATCCTCATCATCTCTACTTCCCTTTTCTTACTTTTTCCCTTTTTTACCTTCTTTTTCTCTTTTTTCTTCTCTTTTTCTCTTTTTTCTCTTTTTATTTTTACTCATCGACATCCATTTCTCTGTGTGATCCATTTTCGATGCAACAGAAAAACCTACAGCCTGTGATAGTCACATAACCATTGGGAAGCCGATCAACTCTCTGACGATGTCTCTCAGCTCTTCTCTCTCTATACTTTTTTTTGTTTTCACATAATATGGTAAAAAAACTAATTGCTTTAAATTCTAATCATATTTGCTTCTTTATTAAACAGATGATGCTTCTTCTCCTGATTTGTCAGCTGTTCAACAAACTGGTACATTGATATGTGGTCCTGGTGCCCTTCGAGCTTCAGCAATTCAAGCTGGATTGGTTAAACTTACACCGGAACAATATGAGTCCATCACCAAAGCCAAAAAATATGCCATGGAGCAAAGCATTAAGAGTGTTCTTGTCAAACAAACCATAGCCCACCAACAACAACAGCAAAAATCACTACAGCGGCATCAAGCTTTGGTGCTTATGTGCCGTGTTTATGTTGGAAGTATTAGTTTTGAGCTTAAAGAGGATACTGTTCGACAAGCATTTTTACCTTTCGGCCCCATTAAGTCAATTAACATGTCTTGGGACCCTTTAACTCAGAAGCATAAAGGGTTTGCATTTGTTGAATATGAATTACCGGAAGCTGCTCAGTTAGCTTTAGATCAAATGAATGGTGTCATGATTGGTGGTCGAAACATCAAAGTAGGAAGACCTAGTAATATGCCACAAGCAGCGCCGATAATTGAACAGATCACCAATGAAGCCAAAAAGTTTAATCGTGTTTATGTTGCTTCTATTCATCAGGATTTAACTGAACAAGATATTCAATCAGTTTTTGAAGCTTTTGGTAAAATCAAAATTTGTAAATTAGCTCAATCTCAGTATCCCGGAAAACACAAGGGCTATGGTTTCATTGAATACGAAACGGATCAAGCAACAAGTGATGCGATCACATCAATGAATTTATTTGATTTAGGAGGTAATTTGCTTTATATTATCTTATTTAATAATAACTTTAATGAATCTTTTATCTCTCTATTTCAGGTCAATATCTTCGTGTTGGACGAGCAATCACTCCACCGAACTGTTTAGATGGACCCACTGCTCCTAGTACGATGCCAACTGCTGCAGCAGTCGCAGCCGCGGCAGCAACTGCCAAAATCCAAGCCATGGAGGCAACAGGTATATCGCCGGTAACCAATTCATCTTCTGGAACCTCTCCTTTAATCGAAGGAGTAACAGCCATTCCTGCTACCGGTTTATCACTTCCTACATCTTTAAATATTGGTGGCTCAACGAGTTTGATGGCTTTAGCAGCGACACAAGTACAACCCGTATTAGCCGCAAATGCACCAGGAATCATCACCGGTGTGACAGTAAATCCAGCCCCAACTCTCATCTCAACTCTCTCAATCCCAATAGTGACTCAACAAACTACTACTACAGTTTCACCAAATAGCACAATAACAACACCATTATCAACAATTACACTTAATAATAGTACCAATAACAATAACTCCTCAGCATCAAACACCAATGATTTAGTAAATAAGGTGGTTGTAAGTGGACTTGCAGCCGCTCAAGAAAAAGCTTCAGCACTCGCTGCTTCCAAAGAAATCGAAGCTAAAGAAAGTAACCCCGGAGAAGAGCCACAAACCTTACAGCAGCAAGAGAACGTTGTAATCAAAGGATCTAATGCTCGACAAATGTTGATGCAAAAATTGATGCGAAAAACAGAGTCTCGAGTTGTCGTTTTACGAAACATGGTCGGAGTAGAAGATATTGACGATGCATTAGAATCTGAAGTGACCGATGAATGTGGTAAATTTGGCTCAGTTAATCGTGTTATCATTTATGAAGAAAAACAGTCAGAGGATGATGATGCCGAAGTGATTGTCAAAATATTCGTTGAATTCAGTAACAGTCAAGGTAAGAGAAAAATTAATCACCAATTTAACACTAAAGTAATAATTTACTCTTTTTTTAATTCACTCAACAGAAGCCATAAAAGCTCGTGATTCATTAAATGGAAGATTTTTCGGAGGCCGAATTGTGAAAGCCGAAATTTACGATCAAACTCTATACGATGAAAAAGATCTCTCTGGTTAATGCATGTGATTTAATTTATAATATTTAATTCATCTCCACGATTACCCGAAAAAAAGAAGATTTATCTTTCTCTCTCTCCCGCTTTTCTCATAAACAACTACAAAATACAAACACAACCACACACACAC